TGGGTAGTAGAGTATTAGAAAGAAATATTTTCGCCTTAAAAAGTCGAAACTCGAATACTTATGAAGATTTGAGAGTTCGATACCACAACATAGTGGAATCAAATTACGTTTAAGGATTATCGAACTCATGATTTACGTTGTCAGTTTAGTGGTTTTCCGAATTTGTTATGTTACTTCATTGTTGGTGGGGAGCTAAAACAATATCTCTAGTTGTTCGAACAAAAGCTCAACCAATTGTGTGTCTATTTAAATGAACAGTATTTGCTGAAAGTTCACTTGATAGACATATTGGAAATGTTAATATATGGATAATTTTTCGCTGACATGTAATAAAAATGAAAAGGCAAAAACTTATCAGGAGTGACAGCTACAACTTAATACCGATCAAATATGTAGTCAAGTCGCAGTACGTTGTCTGTTCGTCATTAATCGAAATGATTTATTTCTATTTGAAAAAATTTACCTTCCACTAACTATAAATCAGTCCTTGTTTGATATCATTCTTGTATTTAAATGGTTGTATAATATTCTCAATTCCAATTTCGTCTAGCTGGAAGGTCACGAACAAGAACAAAAGGATATGTCTACTACTTCTCTACGTATTAATAACTCCGAAAATGACAAATGTTACTGACGAGAACTTTAAACAAACTAATCAATTTTATTCAAATCTCTTGAAAACAAATTTCTATAGCTACAAACATTAAATGGAAAATTTTAATTAATGGGACATAATATAATTGTTCTCAACAGTTCATACTCAAGGGACTCACATAGAATATTTTTTGTTAACACATCCTATACCAATTATTTTTATGATTTTATAATGATTTCTGCAAAACTAATAAGTTAATTCATTTACATCAGAATAATTATTTATGCATTTAATTAAAGTGCAAGGTACACTTGATTCAACGCATGTGTACTTTTATTGAATATTTATAAATACATAAAGGTCAAGTGAATATGTATACGGACACGACAAAACTTCCATCTTTAAAATATTACTTGTACTTGACATTGCTATAATAAAAGTACTATTGAAATACGGATTTTTTTAAACAAAATAATTCAGTAGAGTTTTAATTTTTTACGATTTACATTGCAATGGTATTATATCTGAACTGTCTTACCAAGTTATCCTCCATAAAATTACTCTTATTGGCACATAGGCTTGATCAACAATCTACATAATGAAGATTTTATGATAGCCGAATTTAAAAGTTTGTATATTACTGAATTACAAAAGCCTAAACAAGATTGTACTGACAGTTAACATTTGTTTGCTTACTTTGTGTAATAGAAGTTAATAATGTTGCATGTTATGAATTCAAATAGCTTAGACAGATATTATTGACAAAAAGTTCATTAGATTATGCATTTATCAAGTACACTATTTATTATTTCAAAATATGCTTATTTGACTATTTAACCAAACAAACGATTTCACACAGCTGTTGACATTAAACATAGTTTAAGCAGTTATACCTCCTCATTTTAGGATTTCAGAGTGGTAGGTACTTATATTACATTTTATTTATAAAAGTTAAAATACCCTAATTGCGCAACCCTAACAAAACTGACTCTTTGTATTACCACGTATTTTAGCATTAATATCATATAGTTATTTGCTATTAAAATCTTGTAATGATAGAATCACAAACCTGTGCTTTTAGGTAGTCAATCGTCTAATTTAAATCACTAAACTAGCTCAGGGAGTAAAACGTCACCAAAATAGATTTTGAACGATTTTTAATGTCATTACATCTAGTAATATAGGTGTGAAAGACAATTGTAGGTAATCGAGAGTGAGAAACACTGTTGTCAACTTACACTGTCGCTGCATTCTGCATTGAGTACCCCGACAAAGTACAACTAATGAAGAGTTTTCTCTCGGGCTAAAAATTTACATTGCTAACAGGACTCCCATTGGTTGAAAGATTAACCTAAATTATTGTATAATATCAGTAGGGGTTTTGTGGATATTATAGTAATTTTAATATTTGAGATCATGAGTCAATTGAAGCTAGACCACCATGGAAAACCTGAAAGCACTGAACGGCCGTTTCGTCCGAGTGTTGGACTTCTACAGAATTTTATGGATTAGTTAAAGTGAGACATTAGCATCGTTGGATACCGGCCGCCTCAGTGGTCTAGAGGTAGATCCTGTGTTTCAACCTCACGAGGCGGGATGGCGGATGCACACTGCTGAGGACACCTACAATAGGACGAAACGGTTATCCAGTGTTTCCAGGTTTTCCATGGTGGTCTAGCTTCAATTGACTCATGATTGCAATTATTAAAATTATTATATAATAGTATTATTCTGTGAAAACTTAGCTTGAAATAAAACAATTATTCGGTATTTTCTAAATGCCGACGGTTGTTTAATAAACTGACATTAAAATTTTTATGAGGATGCACAAATATTTTTCATGAAGTAATTATAATTAAAGTTAGGCTCAAAGAAAAAGTGTTTATTTATGTCTATGGTATTTTTAAGTAAACAATGCGGCATGAAACAAGAAAGATTAGTTTAACAAAGAGATCGCTTTTCGGCGAATTCATTTTCAAAGTTGTACAATCGCAAATATATACTTATTTTTCAGGTTGATAATAATTACGATAATAGTGATAATAGAGTTCTAATAAGCATAGTAACAGTGAGGCCGAATAAACAAAAGTATCAAAACATTGTTTTTATCGGGGAAACTAACAATAGTTTCGTTGTTAAGGTCTTCTATATTCATCATGAAGGTAAACAGGGAAACTGTAATCGGGAAATGATTCTACCTCACTGTTACTATGCTTAATAGAATTCTATTACCACTATTATTGTAATTATTATCAACCTGAAAAAATAATTATATATTTGCGATTGTACGACTTTGAAAATGAATTCGCCGGAAAGTAAACTCTTCATGGAACCAATCTTTCTTATTTCATTTATGTCTAGTCTCAAAATAACTTAACACCATTATCTTCTCCAGCTTGAAATTTACTTAAATATTACATTTTGTTTGATAACAAATGCACATTAAGATATTTGTTTAAAAATTATTTCATGGTAACTAACTTTCATGTCCGTTTGCACATTCATGATCTTACTTTGACTAGCAAATCAGTGACGAAAATTGTTAGAAAGTGTTCATTATGTTTAGAACTAGTAATTAGAAATAATCTCACTTGCTTACTTTTTAATGTGTGACAACATGATTTAAGTATTCTCGTTATCTTAATATGGCAATCTTTAAAGGCTGAAAACGCAAAGCCATAAAATATTGTTCAATATGTTTGATCCATATTGTACTATATATCAATGTTTAGATTAGTGTCATTGCTTGGAGTCGTAATAAAAATTCTGTAAATTCTTTAAATAGTTTATCACACTAGTCTGTTTTATATTTTTGTCTGCTAACTAGAATGACACATTTTTTAGAAGGCTAAAATCCAGAAAATTATTAACATTATTTTTGTATTATGTATAAGAAACAAATTACAGTTAATTGAATCATAGGCAAACTCAACAGCAATTTTTAAATTCATTATTTATAAATAGAAAACGAATTCATAAACATTCTTAAATCCGTGCTCAGTAAACTAACGAATCAGCATAATCGAATTAAGTGTAATATGAACAAATTAGAAAATTGTAATAATACTAGTATTCATATTATAACAAAGGAAAACGTTGGATTTATCATGATGGAAACATGTAAACATTTCACATTTTCTGTTTGTATCTATAGTAACACATCACGACGAACTAATGGTAACTTCATAATCATTAAAAGTCAGAATTATAGAGCAAACTGAACTCTATATAAATAAAGTCCCGTTGATTTCGATAAGACGTGTTTAGATAAGCAAGAGATCGTTACTCACGAAATGAAGCTGTTTTCTTTCTCGACTGATGTTAGATTCTACAGTAAATAAATAATAGTAACTTATTACAAAAACAGTAACGAATGATTGACAATGCAATTAAAAGATGAGGCGGACACAATAATTAAAATTCAGAAAATAAATTGAAACGGACAGTTACGGGTTTGGCAGATAACAAAATATCTTACAAGAAAATTTAGAAATTTTTGATGGAAATTTGGGTGTAAATAATAGTTATTTAAGAATTAAGAGAAGAACATTGGAGTTATGTAAAAGTAAGAAGGCGAAACAATTTTTAGAAATTTTAGCCATCAAAGAGAAGTTGGAATAATAAGTCATTTGTAACTTACATTAATATTGGTTTTGTTAATATTCGAGACGGAGAAAGCAATAATACAAATTTCTCCTGCAAGCAGATGTACGTACAGAATATGTACGTAAACAAATGCGATAAATCTAGTGAAATACATTGGATCACTTCGAAAACTTCATTTGTGTCATCCTTATACCCTCTATAGAATAAATCAATAAGTATATAGCTTTTAATGGACATTACATGTTCTTTAATTAGTCAAGCAGAATGATTATTGGAAATTCTTTGGATGAATTGCTAATTTATGCTTCGAATATAACTAGCTCCACAAAAACAGTTGAATTGCTAGGTACAATAAGGATGAGCCGTACTCGTGAAATGTGTGAGTACAGAACGTTTCAGAAAAGTGTATAATTTGTCCGGAGTAAACATTTTTGGAGGGCTTTTGGAATACTTTTATGTTATTATTTTACTAGAATTGTGAGCTATATCGTACAGGTTAGAAGCAAAATTCAGAAAAATGTTGTTTCTTTAAACTTTGTGTAATGACTGAAGATCAGATACCTTTTGTAGGTGCATGTAACTTTTAAGAGGTAAGGTGTCATTGAATATATTTCAGAATACTGGATTATAAAGTTTACCATATAGTGATCATTGAGTAACGGTGGGTAACACGTGATCTTGAAGTGTGACAATATTTATATTCAAATTTACCATAAACGATTTACCAAATTAAATTTAAAAAGTACAGTTTGCATAAACAGAATAGTTTAAGAATAACAAGTTATTTGTTTTGGCTTACTTTCTGAAACTCTACTTCCTATTTCTGGACTAACACTAAATGATCGAAAAGATTCTGGATTATCTTGGTGATAAGAATACTTTGTTTGTAGGGATGGTTGACTTTGATCAGCTTGAAAATAACGCCGTGCAGTATATAAAGTCTGGTTATTTGGATAATAAATCGGAGAGTAGTTGTCGAAGACACTGCGGTTAGCAACAATTTTATCACTATTATTACTGCTAATGCGGTGATCATCATTGACGTACTCAGAGTGAATTAACGAAGGTGAAGAACCGATTTCATTTGGTAATGAATTTAAAGACGATGAATTTCTTTTGTACGAAGCTAACGTGCTATTTGATAGATATGAATTCGGCTTCAAAACATCTGGCATTCTGTTTATTTTCTTACTGATTGTTTTGTTCGTAAAATCGGGATCATGATCAGTAGTATCAGTGTTATCGATCAAGGTGCTAGCATCATAAATATTATTGAATGAAAGAATACGTTCATGATTTATTGCATGAGGTAAATATCTTTGATAATTTGTTTGTATAATTTGTGGTCGACGTGTAATATAATATGTTCTACCATATTTATGATGTTCCTCATCATTTTGTTCCATGTTTACATCATCAATATTCTGTCTTGAATGGAGTGAAGGTTTAGCATTAATTGGTCTAGGTGAAAAATGGTCATTTTTATCCAAATATCTAGTCGCGTTATTACTTCCGATGCCACCCGATGACGATAATGTCGTTAGTGAACCCTGTAAATTTGCGAAGTTACTACGGTCATTGGTGTTTGTGTCCCAGTTGTTGTTCCATTATCTGATGGACGGTATTTATTACTTATATTATTATTCGAAATTTTCGAATCTAAATATTTTGGTTTAGATGTTACATATTCATTGTGATAATCATCACTGTTGTAAAGTGTTTCATTAGATAACATTTTATGATTGGATGACAGTAACCATGATGGACGATAATTTAGTAATGGTCGATATGGAGATGTGGAGGAACTACGTTTAACTAATGTATCGTAATTACTTTTGCGTGTAAATAAAGGTGAATACATATTATTTTTATTGTCATTGAAATTAGTTGTACAAGGTGAATTACTGTTTGCCAAATATATCTCGTTATTACTGTTATTATGCAGTGATGGTTTCATCAACGTGGATGAGTCAGCCTTCATCATTTTCCCAGGCGGATTGTTTGCTAATTTATCAGTGTCTTCATTGTTTATAGTTTGTATTGATGTTGAAATGCTATTATAATTGTTACCGATATTATTACCATAGTTGTGGTTAGCGAAAGAAGTAGGAGTATAACTGTATCGTTTATTCTTCCAAGAAGAGTATTCAACTCGGCTTGAATGAGGAAGCATAGTGGATAAATTGTCATTTTTGCCATTAGTGGAAATTTTATTCTGATTACTTCCCTTAGTATTCGTATTAGTATTAACAATATTGGTAGTAATGCTATTACTATTAGAATCATCAATAACTTCGTTATTAGGATTTATTTTTGGCTTCAGATTTTGTGACAATAATTTAATTGCTGCTGAAATACCCGGTTGTGTTCTGCGATTAACTGAAAGGTAGACTTCATCTAACTTCTTGGTTTTCGGAGTTTGAAAATTTAGTTCATTTTTATTACTGATTTGAATGTCGTTACAATCCTGTGTATTGATGCTATTCAACATGCTCATTTCATCATTATTTTTTATGGAACCCAATTTATATAACCTCCGTAAATAGGATGTTGGTAGCGGAGTAGAAGCAGATTTATTTGAATCCCAATTATTTTGCTGATATACTTGTGTGGAAGCTGAATTATGTTGATTACGAGGTATAACTTTTGGCGATGATTGTGTACCGCAGCCATTCCGGTGAGAAGATGAACTTGTTGAGACATTATTTATAGAATTCGTACAATTATAACTATTGTTGTATGATGGATACATGAAGTATGCTCAAGATGGACAATATTCACAAACTATCAGACAGAATTTCGTAGGAAAATCATAGATTTGATAATTTTTCACTGTTCAAACCTAAGAAGTCAATCACGGTAAAATGTGCTTATTTTCACGTGGTAAAATACGATTTTGTAGATGGAATGTTTTATACTCACACTTCATTTTGCAAAATTTCCTTCAACCAATCACATACAATTAATAGGTTTGACAGATGTATTCTAACAAATCAAATTTATTCAGAGTTATAATTTGATTGGTAAGTTTTCTACACCAATTGGATTGGCGATGATTCTATGAAAACAAAAAGATGGGTCAAGATTTTGACAACTGAATGAACGAGTATACTTATGGAATCATGACTTTAGAACAACCAAACCTCACAACATAATTATTTTCATTTACTTATGACAAAATATATTTGACATTCTGGACATTAACTACGTTCTGAACACGTGCACTGAACAGAGTCGATAAATTCTCATTGAAACTCCACAGTTATAAATTCGAGTTATGTTTCCAAAAATATTGCTACTTCGAAGTAGAGTAAATCTTCTAGAAACAACAATGTATTTGTTTAGGAATTTTATCAAAATGAACTTGTTAACAAAGTTATGATCAATATTTCCTGTCAAAACGGATGTGTTCACAAGTCAATAGAGGTTGTGACATTGATCATCAGAATCAATACAGATAACATGGATTGAAAGAAGTAGTAATGTAATTACAAAACAGATCAAATATTCGACTAACTGTGTGTCTAGAATGGTGAGCACTATGCAAGAAACAGTAGTGTGTTGAGTGTCACTTACAACCGTCATCAATTTAGAAGACGAGAAATAATACTGACAATAATAATGAAAATAATTACAACGAATATCAGCATAGAGTTGTGGTGATTGTTGAGTTTTGTTGACATCATGTGTAACGGGAAGTATATAATTATTCCGTAATATCTCCCTGTATGTTTATGCATAATGAGATCTATAAAGAGTGCTTTCAATTTTCCAGAGCTATCGATCAAATGTCTATCCACATAATACATATTTTCTAAAGTAAATTCAGCCAAATTTATGAATTATTGTATTCAAAGTTAGCTATGATAGAAAAGAATGAAATTTCAGGTATTAATTATTCAGAGGGATATTTTAAAAACTTCGATATTTCTGGGAACTGAGGTCTATTTGGTACACTAGACTAACAGTGAAATAGTGAACTTCATATTTTAACGTTATTTACCTGTATTATGGAGGTCTATCACTTTTACGTGATTAACAATCTTGTCATCAAAGTTTATTTTTCTATTGGTCAATTCAAAAATGTGTAATAATTGTATTTTAGTTTCAATTTAAAATGTTCTCACCCTACTACCACGTGTGCAACTAAAAACATTTGTTAAGACGATTGTATTTCACCATTGTAAACATAAGATGACGTAAATATGAAAAGAACTAGTTAGATGCAAAGGAATTTCCCATTCATTTTCACGTGTTTCACAAAAACTATGCAGTTATGTAAAAGGAATTTATGGTAAAAATTTTGAAGAATATTGAATAAGTAAGGACGAAAGTATAGACTCAACTGTGAAAACAGATTTCTTGCATTTAATGTTTATAAGAAAATGAAAAAATTATTACCAGTTCACAAATTCACTGACCTATGAATTATATTAGGAGTGATAAAGAGAAATTATATCCAACTCATCTGTGAAATAGTTTATCTTGCGACGCATGATAAGCTTAAGTGAAAGTTTGTTGGTTGATGTAGAATTATTTAAAAATATGATGTATGAAGTATGTAATCAGTGAATCAGTATAAGAAAAAATGAAATTGATTTGGAAATGTGAATAGAATAAAAGGAATCTGAATTATAAAACAGGTAAGAAATTCAATTTGCTCACTGTTCTATTTCTTCAGTACTTAAAACTTGAGAGATAATAGGTTATGTAAAAAAGATTCTTGATAAAAGAGCCACAATATCAATCAGACTAACCGGAAAATTTCTGTACAAACTACTGATATGGAATGAAGTCCTTTCATGTATATTGACAGAATAACGTCATAATTCACAAAGTCGACTATCTTAATTCATCAACCAGAGTTCCTACCAAAGGTAAGGTAAATTTCATAAACAGTACAAATATCTTTCAGTAAAAAGACATATAATTGTGCTAATCGTTGAATTATTCTAGATTATCAAGGAAAAAAAGAGTAACTATCTTTCTTTTGGCTAGTTGCTCCTGGAACAGTTCAACGGTTACGTTTAGTAGTCTTACTCCAAAATGTCTTCGTATAGTGCGGGAAACAATTTTTGCTACACTCTAGATCATTAAATAAGGCAATCTAAACAAAATTTCATTAATCTTGAAGTACAGAAGCAAAAAAGAAAGTAATGCCATATATTTCGGTATCTGATGGGTGTTCTTCAAAGTTATCAAAAGAATTCACTCTCACTTTTTATTTATAAGGTTTATTTCGGGAGAAACATTAGTCGAGTAATAAAAAATGTTTTGTTTCTCTGAGTGAAAATTGCACATCTTGTTTATTTTGTACTTTTATTTGGATTGTAAACGGGAGACTTTATCGATAAAAGTAACCAGCGGCCTTTTTTTCAAAAAATGTAGATTTGCTTCCTAGAAAGCTTGTAGATTAGAAATGAGGTTTAATATCATAGCTTTATATATTTTAATTAATACAGACTGAAAGCATAAACTAAAACACTGAACCTTGTTATTGTAAAGAAAGATGATCAATATTGTTCTAGGATACCCAGACTAATAAGCAAGCAACAATTAATTTACTTCTAAGTACCTATTTCAAATAAGTAAACGACTTAATATTGAATAGCGTACATTTCTTCAGTTTTAAAAGATAAGTGTCGTATGCTGACGTGTTTGCAAACTTTGTGTATATGCTTAGCTCGTTAAAACACTACGTTAATAATTATGAGATATACAATTCAAATGAATATAATAACTTGAAACATCATTTGAAAACACTGAAACATGTGATTTGAAATATAGTATATGGAATGTTAATGGTTGGAACACTTAAGATATTGAAAACTACCACATTTGACAAATAAACTTTGCTCAAATATCATACCTCAGATCTGTACAGTTAATTCGATGTAGTTTCGCCAAAGTTTGATTTGATTAATTTACTTAGAAGTTTTGGATCTATTTTAGGTTTCTCAACATTTGATAAGATTTACTTTAGAAAATTAATCACGATTTCTCAAATATTGATCGAGTATACTAGGAGCTATCTACTGTGGACTTTTAAAGTTGACGCTGATAAAGAATACAGGATTTCGTTATTGGTAAAGTTTTTTACTAGTATTATATTTAAACATGCTATATGTTATCGACTGAAACAAAGCTGCTAATGAGAAATATCTACTAACCTGTCTGTATACTCAAATCATATTACCACCATAGGCAAATGCTGACATATTTTATGGTCGATGATTTTACATATCTTAGTATCCGTGGTGTTTAACAATAAAATTTTTAAAAGATACGAGTGTAAATATGTCATCAATCAGTTTTAGGTCACTTTTATGTAGCCTAAGTGAATTGTTTAGAGGCATTTCTCACAAACTAATGTCTACTATTAATAAGTTATGAATTTTAGTACGTTCTTATATCAATGCATTATCACTTTCTACTTTTTAGTTCTAAATGAAATACAATAAGATAAATACTTTGTACCTGATCAATAAATTAAGTCACAAGACATTGTGTTACACTATATTTGATATTAGCCAACTGAAATCTAACGTTAGGGAAACATTGGATTTATATGCAGTTGCCGATTACTTGTTAATTGGCCATATCTATTCTTTTAGAAGAAATCTCCACTTTCTGAGAAATTTTTAATAGAATATTGCAATCGTAAAAACACAACTCCGTGCCAAACAAGTTAATCAAAAACCTTTCTGAACAAGTAAAAATTATTACGATAGGAAAATTTAGATGTTGTTGAAGCTGACAATCACTAGTCGCCAAAACTACCAACTTAAAAAAGTACAGAATGGTGAATATTCTGATACGTTGAACAAGCTCATTCTAATTATATCTTACAGACATGATTATTATTAAATTAGCTTAGTCATATCAAAGTGAAAATGGTTTAAGAACTTCATTCAGATTCATTTTACCCTTAATATTATACACTTTCGTTTGACGAAGTTTCCATGTTTTAATTCAATAGCTAAATGATTCTATGGTCGCAGTCAAGTTCCAGTATAAAAATGATGACATGGTTTTATAGAATTATTCGTTGATTCCATAAATCACGCTAGTTGACCAGCTGGTGCTTGAAAGTACACTAATTAAATGTCATAATTTAAATACTCTGTATAAATTCACAATCGCTAAATAGTATTTAGACAGCTAAAATTAAAGCAACAACAAATAACACGCTTATGTTCAGAACTGCACTAAATAAATGAATAATTCACAAAAATAAATAGGCTGACTCATTGATACAATAATATTAAACTTAATAATTTAAGAGAGTAAAACCCTGATAGAAATAAATGTGTGTTGTTAGGACATGAACAACAAATCAACGTTAGTGATTAATAAATAAGTGTCAGAGAATAGAATTACTCTCTGATTAATATTTCTTTCTTCCATTTAATTACTAAATGACCACTTCATTAGTGAAACTATGTAATTTTTAAATTATAGTAAACGTTTTACATCTGTATATGGATATGTGTGAAATCAATTAGATTTTCAGTGTAATTAATTTGTTAATATAAATGCTTATTAATTTTCGGAATACTAAATGAAATTTTATTCTTATTGATCAGATATTGTCATGTATTCGTTCAATACTAAACTATTAAGTTTAATTAGAATTACTATGCATCGTTAAAGTGGTAGTCTTTAAAACTTGAACAAGATGAGAACAGTTCATTGAGGTCATCAAAATATCCTCATATCTTTACAAAAGATGGACATTCTAAGCCATCAAGA